CGGCCGCGCTGAGCTGACAAACAGCTGTTTGTCGGCTCAGCACACTAGTCTGGACGCTCCACGGTCGACATCAAAGCCCTTTGTCAACCACCCCGTTATTCCTCGTGGGATGAGGTTTACCGGGGCAGTCGACAAAGGGCTTTGATGTCGACCGTGGAGCGTCCAGACTAGCGCACTGAGCCGATAAACAGCTGATCAGCGGTTTGTCAGCTCAGCGCGGCAGCCATGTAAATGTAAAGGAAGCGACGATTATAAACAAATCTCCGTCGACGGAGCCGTGTAGTGTAGACATACCCATTGACAAAAGGACCGTTAGATATGTATGACAGACGCAAGGATAGGTAGATATGTATGGGGAGGGATGGAGGGGTGGATGGAAGGATGGGTGTATATGTCTGGGATTAGAGGAATGCCTGGATGAAAGGGTGGACAGATATGTAAAGGCATGGATGGCTGGACGGAGAGAAGGCAGTGTAGATATGTAGGGAGATGGATGGACAGACGGATGGCAGGGAGTGTAGATATGCAGGGGGATGGATGGACAGACAGACGGCAGGGACTGTAGATATGCAGGGGGATGGACGGACAGACGGACGGCAGGGAGTGTAGATATGCAGGGGGATGGATGGACAGACAGACGGCAGGGAGTGTAGATATGCAGGGTGATGGCCGGGTGTCCGGGGGATCTTTCCATTTCGTTATTGACTTTGGTTCATCCCCGTCACTTTCTCTCTCCTTTGTTCTTCCCTCCCCATCTCTGCTCTCGTCCCAGCTCCGCCCCTCCCCGCCCCCCGGGCCCTGTGCCAGTTGCTCTAGGCCAGCGAGGCAGGGTGATGGTGGGCAGCCGGGGATGCAGGATCCTTGCGCTGACTCACCTTCCCTGCCGCAGGACCCAGCTGTGTCCTGGGCCAGTCCCTGGGCCACCCTGCCCCTCCCCCGACCAATTTTCTCTTCAGGTCCCCTCTGGCTTTGAATTCACAGGCCCTGAAGGACCATCAAGGCACCTTCCCCTTCTGGGTGCAGTTTTACCCCCTTCTCTCTTCCAGCCGCGGAGCCGCAGGAGGCAAAACCTGCCCCTGAGCCCAGCCTGGGGGATCTCTCGGCCTCGCCCTCCTGGCCAGTCCCAGCTGGGGACTTCGACTCCTTCCTCCTCCAGTACAAGGACGCGGAGGGCCAGCCCCAGGCGCTGCCCGTGGACGGGGGATCCCGCACGGTCACCGTCCCCAACCTGGCGCCTTCCCGCCGGTACAAGTTCAACCTCTACGGCGTGTCCGGCCGCAAGCGCCTGGGCCCCCTCTCCACCGATGCCACCACAGGTCAGCGGCTGCTCCCGGGACTCCGGCCCCCTCCCCTCCTGCCCCTTTGCTGTGCAGTGTGACATGGATGCCGACAGATGGGTGATATTCACTCCTGGAAGAGTTTTCTAAGCCTCAGGCATCCATGACCCTGTTCACCCCCCACAGATAGTGGGGGAGTGTGGATACATGGACAGATGGAGGAAAGGAAGCAGTGGGGAGGCACTGTGTGCATGGATGCATGGCTGGGTGGATGGATGGAGGGACAGACGGATGGATGGGTGGACGGGTGGGTGAGAGGGTGGATGGATGGAGGGACAGACGGATGGACAGGTGGGTGAGAGGATGGATGGATGGAGGGACAGATGGGTGGACGGGTGGGTGAGAGGGTGGATGGATGGAGGGACAGACGGATGGATGGGTGGATGGGTGGTTGAGAGGGTGGATGGATGGAGGGATAGATGGGTGGGTGAGAGGGTGGATGGATGGATGGATGGAGGGACAGACGGATGGACAGGTGGGTGAGAGGATGGATGGATGGAGGGACAGATGGGTGGACGGGTGGGCGAGAGGGTGGATGGAGGGATGGATGGAGGGACAGACGGATGGACAGGTGGGTGAGAGGATGGATGGATGGAGGGACAGATGGGTGGACGGGTGGGCGAGAGGGTGGATGGAGGGATGGATGGAGGGACAGACGGATGGACAGGTGGGTGAGAGGATGGATGGATGGAGGGACAGATGGGTGGACGGGTGGGCGAGAGGGTGGATGGAGGGATGGATGGAGGGACAGACGGATGGACAGGTGGGTGAGAGGATGGATGGATGGAGGGACAGATGGGTGGACGGGTGGGCGAGAGGGTGGATGGAGGGATGGATGGAGGGACAGACGGATGGACAGGTGGGTGAGAGGATGGATGGATGGAGGGACAGATGGGTGGACGGGTGGGCGAGAGGGTGGATGGAGGGATGGATGGAGGGACAGACGGATGGACAGGTGGGTGAGAGGATGGATGGATGGAGGGACAGATGGGTGGACGGGTGGGCGAGAGGGTGGATGGAGGGATGGATGGAGGGACAGACGGATGGACAGGTGGGTGAGAGGATGGATGGATGGAGGGACAGATGGGTGGACGGGTGGGCGAGAGGGTGGATGGAGGGATGGATGGAGGGACAGACGGATGGACAGGTGGGTGAGAGGATGGATGGATGGAGGGACAGATGGGTGGACGGGTGGGCGAGAGGGTGGATGGAGGGATGGATGGAGGGACAGACGGATGGATGGGTGGACAGGTGGGTGAGAGGGTGGATGGATTGATGGGGGATGGATGTCAGTGGGTATGGCTGATGGGGAGGGAAGGGGACATTCAGGGCTAGCTGGGTGTCCGTGGGGATCTTTCCATGGACATTGGGGGCTTTGGTTCACCCCCTTCTCTTTCTCTCTTGTTTCTTCCTCCTTCTCCTCCCTCTCCTCCCGTCCCAGCTCCGCTCTCTCCGAGGTTTGTGCCAGTCGCTCTGGGCTGACCCCTCCACAGAGGCAGGATGGCTGCCGGGAACCCCAGACATGCCCCATCCATCTACCCCCAGCTCTCCTTCCCAGTGACAGGATTCCTCTATGCCTTGAGGCTGATCCCTGGGGCTCCCTGCTAATCCTCTCGGCAGAGTCCCTCTGTCTGGGAATAACCTGGCACCCCATGGACCCAGTGAGCAGCCCCCATCCTGGCTGCACCCTTCACCCCCTCTCTTTGTTCCAATCGCAGCGCCGCAGACAGAAGTACCCACCACCCAGCCCAGCCTGGGGGAGCTCACAGCTTCCAACGTCACCCACGACTCTGTCCTGCTCTCCTGGACCGTCCCGGCCGGGGACTTCGACTCCTTCCTCCTCCAGTACAAGGACGCGGAGAGCAAAACACCGGCCCCTTCCCCTCCTGCCCCCTGTGCCTTGCAGTGCTGCACAAACAGCAGCCAGTACCCAAGACCGTTGCAGAAAGACACTTCCTCGATTCCATGAACCATCTGCTGGCCATTCTACAAAGAGAGATGGGTGGGTGGGTGGATAGATGCACCACCACAGGTCAGCGGCTGCCCCCGGGACTCCGGCCCCCTCCCCTCCTGCCCCCTTTGTCTCGCAGTTGGGCAACAACACTGGGCAATGGGCTGGGTCCGTCGTAAGAAGATACTTTGCAGACTCAGCCTCCGTGGCCCAGTTTCTGGTGAATCTGCCTTTAGAGGGGGAACCATGTGGGGATGAATGGAGGAGTGTGGACGGACGGACGGATGGACTGGGTGTCGATGGGTGGATGGACGGACAGACGGACTGGGTGTCGATGGATGGATGGACGGACGGACGGATGGACTGGGTGTCGATGGGTGGATGGACGGACAGACGGACTGGGTGTCGATGGATGGATGGACGGACGGACGGATGGACTGGGTGTCGATGGGTGGATGGACGGACAGACGGACTGGGTGTCGATGGATGGATGGACGGACGGACGGATGGACTGGGTGTCGATGGGTGGATGGACGGACAGACGGACTGGGTGTCGATGGATGGATGGACGGACGGACGGATGGACTGGGTGTCGATGGGTGGATGGACGGACAGACGGACTGGGTGTCGATGGGTGGATGGACGGACGGATGGACTGGGTGTCGATGGGTGGACGGACGGACAGACGGACTGGGTGTCAATGGGTGGAGGGATTCTTAGGTGTCCATGGGGATCTTTCCACTGATGTTGGTGGCTTTGGTTGACCCCTTCTCTCTCTCTTCTCCCAACTCAGCTCAGCTCCCATGGGGGTTTGTGCCAATTGCCTTGCGCTGCCCCTATAAGGCCAGGATGGCTGTGGGGAACTGGGGAGGGTGGGGTCCTTACAGTCATGCCCCAGCCGTCTGTCTGCCCATCCCCAGCTTCCCTTCCCCGCAGCAGGATCCAGCTGTGTCTTGGGCCGGTCCCTGGGACTCCCTGCACCTTCCCCCCACCAATCCTCTCTGCAGGTCCCCTCTGGCTAGGAATAATCTGGCTCCCCAGGGATCCAGCAAACCCCCCCTTGGCCATGCCCTTCACCCTCACCCCCTCTGTTCCAGCCGCGAAGCCGCAGGAACCAAAACCCGAGCCCCAGCCCAGCCTGGGGGAGCTCTCGGCCTCCGACGTCACCCACGACTCCGTGCTGCTCTCCTGGACCGTCGACAAGGGGACCTTCGACTCCTTCCTCCTCCAGTACAAGGACGCGGAGGGCAAGCCCCAGGCGCTGCCCGTGGACGGAGGATCCCGCACGGTCACCGTCCCCAACCTGGCGCCTTCCCGCCGGTACAAGTTCAACCTCTACGGCGTGTCCGGCCGCAAGCGCCTGGGCCCCCTCTCCACCGACGCCACCACAGGTCAGCAGCTGCTCCCAGGACTCCGGCCCCTTCCCCTCCTGCCCCCTTTGCATTGCAGTGTGGTGAGAACTGGCCTGAACAGCTGGGAAGATGCTTCGGAGACTCCAAACTCCACAAGTCATCTGCTGGGCATTGAACAGAGAGAGTTTGGATGGATGGATGGATGGATGGATGGATGGATGGATATAGCGGTACATGTGGGGGATGGGTGGATGGGCAGGTGGAAGGATAGGTGGATGGATGGATGGATGGATGTGTACATGTGGGGTGGATGGACGGACGAGCATGGGCTTCGAAGGGGATGCAGAGGACATATGACGTGGGCAGACGTGTGAGTGAGTGGCCAGGGAATGGATGAAGGGCAGGTTGGGGATGGCCGGGTGGCGTTGGGGATCTTTCCATTGATGTTATTGGCTTTGGTTCACCCCCATCACTCTCTCGTTTGGCTTCTTTCCCTGCCCCCCAGCTCTCACCGAGGTGTGTGCCGGTCGCTCTGGGCCAAGCTCTCCACAGAGACGGGATGGCCGCGGGGAATCTGGGAACTTGGGATCCTCATGCCCCATCTGTCTGTCTGTTCCCAACTCTCCTTCCCAGCAGCAAGGTCCAGCTGAGTCCTGGGGCTGGTCCCTGGAGACCCCAGCACCCTCCCCCCGCTAATGCTGTTTGTGAATCCCATCCGTTGGAGGACCCAGCGAGCTGTCTCCTACCCCGGCTGTTCCCTTTATCCCCTCTCTCTGTTCCAACTACAGCACCACGAGAAGAACCTGCCCCCCAGCCCAGCCTGGGGGAGCTCTCAGCCTCTGACATCACCCACGAGTCCGTCCTGCTCTCCTGGACCATCGACAAGGGGACCTTCGACTCCTTCCTCCTCCAGTACAAGGACGCGGAGGGCCAGCCCCAGGCGCTGCCCGTGGACGGAGGATCCCGCATGGTCACCGTCCCCAACCTGGCGCCTTCCCGCCGGTACAAGTTCAACCTCTACGGCGTGTCCGGCCGCAAGCGCCTGGGCCCCCTCTCCACCGACACCGGCTCCTTCCGCTCCTGCCCCCTTAGCTGTGCAGTGTGCTGGGATAGCAGTTGCCAGCTGGGACCTTCCTGAGACATGCTTCCTAGATTGCAAACTTCCCGTCACATTGCAGTGAAGAGAGGAAGGGACGGATGGAGGTGGGAGGGTGAATTGAAAGACAGGCAGATGAATCAGTGCTTATGAAGCAGACTGGATGAAAAGATAGATGAGGAAGGAAGGAAAGAAGGAAGGAATAGATAGAAAGATCTATAGGTGTCAGTGGGGATGAATGTATGGGGAGTGCCTTCAATGGATAGATGAGTGAATGTTTCTGGGGAAGGGCAGATGGATGGATGGATGGATGGATGGATGGATGGAAGGGCAGGTGCATGAGTTGATGGATGGATGGATGGACAGATGGATGGAAGGACGGGTGGATGGAGGGCTATCTTGGGTTATGAATGGAAGGAGGGAGGGAAGGACAGATGGATGGAAGGACGGGTGGATGGAGGGCTATCTTGGGTTATTAATGGAGGGAGGGAGGGATGGAAGGATGGGTGGATGGAGGGCTATCTTGGGTTATTAATGGAGGGAGGGAGGGATGGAAGGATGGGTGGATGGAGGGCTATCTTGGGTTATTAATGGAGGGAGGGAGGGATGGAAGGATGGGTGGATGGAGGGCTATCTTGGGTTATTAATGGAGGGAGGGAGGGATGGAAGGATGGGTGGATGGAGGGCTATCTTGGGTTATGAATGGAAGGAGGGAGGGAAGGACAGATGGATGGAAGGACGGGTGGATGGAGGGCTATCTTGGGTTATTAATGGAGGGAGGGAGGGATGGAAGGATGGGTGGATGGAGGGCTATCTTGGGTTATGAATGGAAGGAGGGAGGGAAGGACAGATGGATGGAAGGACGGGTGGATGGAGGGCTATCTTGGGTTATTAATGGAGGGAGGGAGGGATGGAAGGATGGGTGGATGGAGGGCTATCTTGGGTTATGAATGGAAGGAGGGAGGGAAGGACAGATGGATGGAAGGACGGGTGGATGGAGGGCTATCTTGGGTTATGAATGGAAGGAGGGAGGGAAGGACAGATGGATGGAAGGACGGGTGGATGGAGGGCTATCTTGGGTTATGAATGGAAGGAGGGAGGGAAGGACAGATGGATGGAAGGACGGGTGGATGGAGGGCTATCTTGGGTTATGAATGGAAGGAGGGAGGGAAGGACAGATGGATGGAAGGACGGGTGGATGGAGGGCTATCTTGGGTTATGAATGGAAGGAGGGAGGGAAGGACAGATGGATGGAAGGACGGGTGGATGGAGGGCTATCTTGGGTTAT